GGAAGCTTTCATATGAAAATTATGAAATGGAAGGAAAAATGCAGTGCCCAATGTTGGTGATTGACTTACTGCCCTAGAAAGAAGTCCTTGTTGGACTTAACCCCTTGTTTCTCTTTGTCCTTAATGTCTGGTGAGCTCTCGTTAGTGTTCTTTTGGTGTATGTTGGTTTATTAGTGTTGGAGTGGGATGATAATTGGCAATTAAAAAAAAAGAACAGAAATATTCAGTCTTCTTTTAACTTTGTATTAGAAATCTTAATTCTTAGAGTTTAACCTCCATTTGCAACTCTTAGTTGTGGCATATTTCATAGGAAGATAGCTTTGAGACTATCAAAATGATTAGATAAGTAACCCTAATTCTGGTTGGGTACTAGTTTCTAAGATAAGAAAGATAAATATATTTTTTTCTTAAAGGGGGCAAAAGAGAAATCTTAAATGAATACTTCTTATAGTGAAATATTTTTAAGTTTAAAAAGAATGATTGTTAAAATTATTTCTATCCTTTCTATCGTGACCATCCTGTATGTGCCCCATGGAAGCATCTTTGGCTTTATTGAGTTTAAAAGTAACAAATCAGCCAGTCTCACACCTGTAATCTCAGCCCTTTGGGAGGCCGAAACAAGAGGATCACTTGAGCTCAGGAGTTGGAGAACACCCTGAGCAACGTAGCAAGACATTGTCTTTACTAAAATTAAAAAATAACAGCCAGCTATGGTAGCTACTTAGGGGCCTGAGGCAAGAGGATCACTTGAGCCCAGAAAGTCAGGGTTTCAGTGAGCCCTATCTTGCCACTGCACTCCAGCCTGGGCAACAGAGTGAGACCCTGTCTCAAAAAAGGAAAAAACCCACAAGTCATTATGTGGAAGATTTATTTAATACACACGTATTTGTAGGTAAAAATTAAGTCAAGACTTTTTATAATGTCAAAAAATAATCATAGCTAAAAGTTTGGAGTATGGCCTTCATATTTGCCAGTGTACGTATAAACCTGTGCTTTAAATATAAAGGCCATAATTCAACATGTACATTTTTCTACGTCAGTAGATAAAGTTCTGCCTCATCTGCCTCATCTTTTATCACTACTTAAAATTCATTATGTAGATCTACCATGATTTATTTAATCAACTTTCTGATGATGTGATTTAGGTTGTTTCTAATTTTTTTTTTCTAATATAATTACTTGACCAATTATCCTTGTGATAAATTATTTCTGGGAATAAAACTATTGAGGCAAAAATATACAATTTTTCAATTACAAAATTTTACTTTATAACTTTTATGAAATTGAACTAGAAGCTTACACCAGTTTATATTCCAACCAGAAGCTTGCACCAGTTTATATTCCAGCCAACAGTGAAGTGTCCATTTCACCACACTTCCTTCGCATTTCTAATTTAAAAAACATTTCTGCAAACTTAATAGGTAAAAATATTTTATTTCTATATTCATTTCTTTGGTTATTAATGAATTTGAACATCTTATTATAACATTAGAGCAGTGTCATTTAAAAGGAACTAATGACTTTTGATTTGCATCTTTTTTCTTGGGATTATGGTAGCATTCCCCATATGAAAATTTGCAATTTGAAGTTATGAAGTCAAAAGTATAATTGAGATTATGGATCTAGCACCTCTTTCCTTAAATGTGTGTGTTCATCCACATACTTTCTTGAAACTGTGGGAAGAGAATGATCCTTTTTTTTTTTAACAGGCCGCAGAGAGACTGGTCTTAGCAGTTTCTAGTTAGCAAGCATTGGAAATAAATCTCCTGTGTTAACTCAGTGAAAATAAGTATAATATACTTGTTTTTCTCATTTAATACAAGTTCCATCCAAGTATTTTTCAACCTTTTTTAAATTGCCTGCAAGGAGCTTTCTGCCATGATAATTTGATACCATAGATACACTGTTTATCTGTTGTATACAATAGCCCTTTGTAGGGCGGCAAATGTTTTAACAGCTAAGATTTTGATGGTCCTTCAGAGAACCAGTTTTTTTCCTCTTAGGGGCAATGCTGCTGTCATTGAGAATGCAGTGTGTATTGATATTGATATTTGGGGGAGGAGAGGGAAACAGCTTTACTATGCATTAACAATTGCTTGGGTTTCATAGGACTCATAAAAGGTTAGTGTTTCTTTTGCTTTGTCAGATTGTCCAGAAGGGAACATTAGGATTAATAGTTGCTACAGTTACTTCACCAGTCTTATCACCCAACTCTAACCATGGTATCTTGGAGTCCCTAAGTTACCTACAATGTTCTAGGTATAGTAATGCCATTTTTGAGAATGTTGCTATGCCAAGGACATAGTGATGTTATTGTAGTTGAAGACATTTTGTTGAATTTAGGGAACAATAGCCCTAATGCATTAGGAGTAATTGTAAATGATCAGACCTTTATCCTTGTGGTTCTCAAACAGTGATGATTCTGCCTCCAACAGGATATCTGCAATTTTGGTTGCCACAACTGGGTGCATGGTGTTCCTAGTGGCATCTAGAGGGTGGAGTCCTAGGATGCTACTAAACATCCTGCAGTGCAAAGGACAGAGTCCCCCATTGCAAAGAATTATCTAGTCCAAAGTACCAGCACTGCCGAGATTGAGAAACCCTGCTCTGTCTTAGTGATAGTACTTCTTGGAATCTAGCTTTAGAAAATCATTCAAGTAATATTGCTATGATTTTGGTTTGTGTGTATTTTTTTAAGTGGGACATATATTTTTATACATAATTATGAAAAATGGGAAACATTTAATTATTTGAGTCGGAACACGTCAGGCAACACTGAAGAATTGGAAACCATTTGAGAGAAAATTAACTCACCCATTTCAGCAATTTCTTTTTTGAAACAGTATCATTCTGTCATCCAGGCTGAAGTGTAGTGACACAGATGCAGTTCACTGCAGCATTAACCTCCTGGGCTCAGGGGATTCTCCCACTTCAGCCTCCAGAGTAGCTGGGACTATAGGTGTTTGCCACCATGCCTGGCTCATTTTTGTATTTTTTGTAGAGATGAGGTGTCACCATGTTGCCCAGGCTGATCTCAAACTCCTGGGCTCAAACGGTGCACCCACCTTGGCCTCCCAAAGTGCTGGGATTTACAAGCTTTAGCCACCGTGCCCAGCCTCAGCAGTTCTTTATATGACACCCTTCAACTTCTGTTTGCTCACCTTGGGTTAAAATACAGTATAATCATCTACCATTATCAATAGCCCTTTATTTCTTAGAAGAAATAAAAGTATCTCAAAAATGCAGCAATTTGTAAATGAGTTAAATTCAAGTATGGGTGCATTGAATGTTTTCTATATTATTCTCTTTTTCTGTATTTTTGAAATATTGCAACATCCCATTTTAAAAGTAGTGTACTTTTCAAATTTGTTCATGTTTGAGCTGAGGCCATTTTTATCAATAATTTAGCAATGTATATATAATAAAATAGCAATGAATTACTTTGTTATAACTAGAGCTAGTTAACTACAGCAAATAAAATTATTTCCAAGGGCTTTTTTCTCTATGTTTGGAATGTTGAGTACTTTCTGAACGTATTCAGGGTGTACTAAGTGTTAAAAGGCAAATGGTTTTTGAAGTTTCTCGAGCAATAATTGGGGTGGTTGAGTATGCTTTACAGTTCCATAAGATGGCAAGTTGGTGATCCTTTTTTCTCTAAGTTAGTGTGGAAAAACATACATTTAGGAAGAAACTATATTATGCATTAAGATTAACAAAATCAGTTTATTTCTTATTTTAAAAATGTCTCTCATCCTCTTCATAATGCTGCTATGGTATGCTTATTTCACAAATAAGGAATATTGCAAGATGTTTTGTTTTGGAAGAATTATTTATTATTTAAAACTAGTACCTGTTGCATTTGCATTCAAATTTTTTCATGTTTTTTCCTCTGAGATTTTAGACATCTGGCCTTTAGATTAGGAAAGGGTACTTTTCAACTTTGTTCCCAATAAAAATAAATAGTAAACTTAACATGATTGTTTTTATATGACAAGTGGCACTATCAACATACGTATAATTAAGCCCGTCTTTCTCTAGCTTGTGCCAAAACTGTCTTGTTATTGAAGAAAACTACTTATGCAGATCTCTGATAACTTATTTTAATGGAAGGAATTTTACTTGAGTTTATGGTCATTGCCTTCTGACAAAAATTTTACCAAATTATATAAGTGTTTGATGAAAGATACTCTACTAGATTGTATGAAAAGAAAATTATTTTGGATTTTGGAGTCCTACTGCAATGAAATAGATTTTAAGGAGATGCCAGTAGTCATTAACTTGCTCTAATGGATTGTTAGAAATTTCTTCTAAGTAAAGAAAACATTGTGTAAAATCATCATGTAGTGAAGACATTTAAATTTCTGTAGTGGATTCAATATTTTGAGCATTCGATTTTTTTAAAAAAAGGAAGCATGTCAATGTCTCTAAATTTAGATACATTATAGTCATTTTTCTAGAATCAGGCATTTAGTGAATTATTGCTGTTGATCCTGTGTCAGACCAAAGTTTAGACCTGAAAGCATAAAGACTGTAGCTCAAAGTGCCTTCTGCTTAGCAACCAGCTTGTTGTCTACTGTTTTGCTACTGAATGCACGTACTCATGCCTCAGAAGTGTATCTGCAGCCAGCTGGACTCAACCAGACAATACTTCATTCACCTAATTTCCAGACTAGTCAAGCAAAGACATCAGCTCATTGTATTTAGTCATGAGGAAATTTATTTGTAAACTTCAAATAGTAGCACACTGCTCTCAAAAGCCCCTGAACTATGAGAAATTGCCTTCTAATTCAGAAATGTGAAGTCCTTGGAATTTAGAACTGCTTCCCTTTTTTCTTTTTTCTTAATAACATTTGCAAGAGAAATTAGCTCTTCATAGAAAATATATGTTAAATTCTAAGAATAATTTTAGAATTATCTTCGAGTAAAAATTCAGAAAGTTCAATATGCATCCATACTTTTATTATATACCTTGATCCTAACATGATTATTTTCTCTCTTAGAAAACAACAGTTTTGTTGGCATGTGAAGCTCCAGTTTCCTCAAAGTCAAGCTGAGTATATAGAAAAAAGGTATCCCTGCTGTCTTTCAATAACGTTAATGTCAGTAGTAGAATGGATAACTGAATTATGGTATATTTATACAATGAAATGGTAAACATCACTAAAAATGAATGAACTACAGCTGTGCACATCAACATGCATGAATCTCAGAAATAATGTAAGAAAAGTAAGTTAAGGAAGGATGTATAGAACATGATTCTGTTTGTAAATACAGGGGAAGAAAGCCAGAAAACTAAATAGTGTACTTTTAGGAATGCCTACAAAGGTGATAGAACTCTAAGGGAAATTATTAACATAGAAACCCTCATGATAGTTACTTTAGCAGGGTAGCAAGTATTAAATAGAGGCATCCAAGAATTAGAGGACTGAAAATTTCCTATTTCTTAAGCTGAGTGGTTGTTAAGGAGATGAAAAATGACCCTAAATTCTACCATGCAAAGATTGCTACAATTAACATTATAATGTTTCACCGAGAAAATTGATTATTTTAGATATATTTATGTGTACTTATTGGAATTAATTTGCATAAAGTTTTTTGTGTTATTGTTTCATATTCAGACTTGTTCTTTTCTTTTTCTTTTTTTTTTTGGGTGGGGGTAGGGGGTGTGGGGGCAGGATCTTGCTCTATTGCCCACACTGGAGTGCAGTGATGCAGATCTCCGATCACTGTAGCTTCAACCTCCTGGCCTCAGGTGATCCTCCTACCTCAGCCTCCAAGTGGAGGGGACTAAAGGGTCAGGACATCACACCCAGCTAATCTTGTTTATTTTTGGTAGAGGAAAAGTCTCACTATGTTGCCCAGGCTGGTCTCAAACTTCTGGGCTCAAGCAATCCTCCCACCTCTGCCTCCCAAAATGTTGGGATTACAAATGTGAGCCACCACACCTAGCCTATAAATGTTTCAAGTTTCATTTATACATTTTAATGTCAGCCAGGTGCAGCAGCTCGCACCTGTTATCCCAGCACTTTGGGAGGTCGAGGCAGGTGGATTAATTTTGGCCAGGGGTTCAAGACCAGCTTGGCTAACATACTGAAAACCCATCTCTACGAAAAATACAAAAATTAGGTGGGTGAAATGGCATACCTCTGTAATCACAGCTACTGGGAGGCTGAGACATGAGAATAGCTTAAATACTAGAGGCAGAGATTGCAGTGAGCCAGTATCATGCCATTGCACTCCAGCCTGGGCGACAGAGCCAGACTTTGTCTCAAAAAAATAAACAAAACATTTTAACGTTTGTGAACAATTTCATTTCTTGTTTTAGGAAAATTTTTAACTTGCTCTTTAAGTAGTATATTTAGCATATTCCTGCATTATATGTAAACGTCCGCTCTTTGTAGTTGTCACAGGGATTTTAGCGAAGAACTTTGTTATTTGAAGTTGCATGCAGGGAGAGGGCTTATTTTACAGATAGGGGTATGTAGCCAATAGTATATATGAATATGTATAAATGGTTAAGGAAAGTTTAAAACCGTGTGTTAATTTTATTTATACAGCTTTATATATATAAGTTTAAAACAGTGTGCATATATTGAGGAAAGTTGGAAAACTTAAAATGTTTTGTTTCCAGGGAAATTAGTATCAATTTTTTAACCTGGTCTTATAAACTAGAGTGGATAAACTTGAACATGCACTGAAATCTGAAACCTTTTTCAGATTTATTATTTCTGCTAATTTCAAATATATTTTATCCTGACCTCTTCTTTTCATGTTTGCATACAGGTGTGTGTTAAAAGAGTCTTCTTATTTTTATAATTGATTTATACAGATCTTCTAAAAATGTTGTTTTTTAAGACCTTGTTAAGTATGTCCAAGAACTCTTTTTGAGTGTTTTCCTAAGTAATTTTTGCTTAAAAGGATATTTTATTTTGCCAAGAGTAATATAAAAGGTCTTTGTTCAGTTATTTAAACCAAAAAAAGCCACATTTAGTAATTCAAAAATAACACCTTTAGTAAAAAATTATAAATAATAATATAGGTTGTTTTTTTTCTTTGTTGGAAAGAGTACCAGAAGATAAAACTATTAATGAAATCCTAAAACCTTACATTGATCCTGAAAAGTCTGATCCTGTAATTCGTCAAAGGTATGCTTCAAGAATATTGTAAGTTTCTGAAATAATTAAAAATGTTGAATAGTTATTAGAGTCATCCATGACTGTCAGAATGTGATGTATAGTGCAGTTTACTTTCTATCCCATTTTTTTGGTGTTTACTGAAGGTCTGTGAGTATAAATAACAACAGTAGCTGACACTCATTGTTTACTGTGTTCCAGACACTCTTCAAAGCAGACAATAACAATTATGTTAATTCATATAATCCTCATAATAACTCTGAAAAGTAGATTATTATTATACCCATTCTGCAGATGGGGAAACTGAGCCTTAAAGTGGTTAAGTAATGTCCTATGGTTAGTAAACAGCTAGGATTCATACCCAGGCAGTCTGGAGTCAAAGTCTTTACTATTAACCCTTAAACTAAAACTACCTTTGAAGTTGAACAAAAAACTCTGAAAATTAAGTTTCCAAGTAACTTTTAAAGACAGGAAATCCTGTTTCAGCCAAGTCTTCATGGAACTAAGTAAGGTACACTCTGCCTCCTGTCCAGAAATACAGCATGGACAAAAATGGTTAACATAACATAACATAGTGGAATGATTCAGTCATGGATCTCTGGGTTAAAATAGCTGTTTCTATCCCTTATTAGCTGTGTGATTAAGAGCAAGGTACTTAATTTCCAGGCCTTAATTTTTTTCATCAGTGAAATAAGAATGTTAACACTTCCTAGATAGGGTTGTTACAAAGCTTAAAAGAAATAGCTGTATACAATTATAAATACAGGACCTAGCATATAGTAGGCACTGCTCAAAAAAGGAGATTATTATTAGAGTGTGAGTTATTAGTGCTCCTGGGCAGAAACCCAGTTGATTTTATTTTCACCAGATGGTACTTGCTGGGGATATGAACGAGTGCTTGGTTTGGGTCCAGAATAACCTGGTATTTAAAATTTAGACTGGGTGGATTCTAAAATATAAAATCCAGTTCTAATTAAATCTCAGTATTTTGCTTTTGATAAAAGGTCATGCCCAGACTGAACCAGATTCCTGTCACATATCAAGCAGTCTTTAGAATAGCTGTGATAGTTGAGTTTCTTTCCTTATAACTAGTAACCTAGTTGTTATCATTAGTCATATACTTGGCAGTAAGACAGAGTGTCACTGAATAGGATATCTTTTTTATAAAATTATATAGCCGGATTAATTTATTGAAACAGGTATTTTAAAATTTAAGATGTTTAATTGAACAGAGGAAAAAATTCTTTTCAGATTTCTGGTTAGAAAAAATCTTTATCTGCTTTTCTGTTCTTAAATGGATAAACTTTTAAGTATTATTAGGTACTCACAAATGCTTAGTCTCCATAAGACTGTCTTTATATATTAAAAATCAGCTTTTTCTTCAATATATTTTCATTTCAGGTTGAAAGTTTACATTCGCTCTCAGACTGGAGTTCAAATTTTAATGAAGGTCGAATATATGCAGCAAAATTTAGTAAGGTAAATTGCTCCCCTCCCCATTTCTTTAAATATTTTTTAGTTCTGTAATATAATTAAGTAGCTTGATTAGCTCAAGTTATTAAACTCATCTAGCTATCAACAAGACTTGTGCTTTTCAACTTTCAAGTCAGAATTCAAAATAATCACACTTACAGGATAAATTTGGTTGAAAAATCACCCGGGTTAGACTATTTTATTTTCTTTTCTGTCAACTGATGTAGGGGAACTAGAATATTTTAGAATACAAGCGTTCTTTTATTTGTTCTATTATGTTTTACTTTATTGAGCTTTATAGATGCTGCATTCTTTACAAATTGGAGGTTTATGGCAACTCTGCATCAAGGAAGTCTGTCTGCACTATTTTTCCAACAGCACGTGTTCAGTTCTAGTCTGTGTGTCACAGTTCAGTAATTCTTGGAGTAGTTCAAACTTTTTCATTAGCATTATGTCGTTATGGTGACCTGTGATACAATAGTAACACTTTAATGTTACTACTGTTATTGCTTTGGTGCACCATGAACTGTGCCCATAAAAGATGGCAGCCTAAATAAATGTGTGTGTTGTGACCGTTCAGCAGCCAGTCATTCACCGATCTCTTTCACTCTCCTCAGGCCTCGCTATTTCTTGAGACACAATAATATTGAAATTAGGTCAATTAATAATCTCACAGTGGCCTCTGAGTGTTCAAGTGAAAGGAAGAGTCACACATCTCTCACTTTAAATCAAAACCAGAATGATTAAGCTTAGTGAAGAAGACATGTTGAAAGCCTGTTTCTCTCCTGCTAGTTAGCCAAGTCATGATTGCAAAAGAAAAATTCTTGAAGGTAATTAAAAGTGCTACTCCAGTGAACACAAGAATTATTAAAAAAATAAATAAAAAATAAAAAAAAGTATAACAGTCTTACTGCTGATAAGGAGCAAGTTTTAGTGGTCTGTACAGAAGATTAAACTAGCCCCAACATTCCCTTAAGCCAAAGCCTAACTCAGAGGTAGGTACTAACTCTCAATTCTATGAAGACAGAGACGGGTGAGGGAGCTGCAGAAAAGTTTGAAGCTAGCAGAGGTTGATTCGTTAGGTTTAAGAAAAGAAGCCATCTCCATAACCTAAAAGTGCAAGGTGAAGCAGCAAATGGTGATGTAGAAGCCACAGAATGTTATTCAGAAGATCTAGCTAAGATAACTGATGGTGGCTGCACTAAATAGATTTTCAGTATAGACAAACAGCCTTATATTGAAAGTAGATGACATGCAGGACTTACAGCTAGAAAGGAGAAGTAACTGCCTGGCATAAAAGCTTCAAGGGATGGACTGACTCTCTTGTTAGGGGCTAATGCAGCGGTGACTTAACGTTGAAGCCAGTGGTCATTACCATTACAGAGATCCTAGGGCCCTTAAGAATTATGCTAAATTGGGCCTTTGTGGTGGCTCATGCCGGTAATCCCAGCAGTTTGGGAGGCTGAGGTGGGCGGAGTCCAAGGTCAAGAGATTGAGACCATCCTGACCAACATGATGAAACTCTATCTCTACTAAAAATACAAAAATTAGCTGGGCATGGTGGCGCTTGCCTATAGTCCCAGCTACTCGGGAGGCTGAAGCAGGAGAATCGAATTGAACCTGGGAGGCAGAAGTTGCAGTGAGCCGAGACACACCCCTGCGCTCCAGCCTGGGTGACAGAGTGAGACGCAATCTCAAAAAACAAAAGAATTATGCTAAATCTATTCTGCCTGTGTTCTGCAAATGGAACAACAGAGCCTGATGACAGCACATCTGTTCATGGCATGGTTTACTGAATATTTTAAGTCTACTGCTCAGAAGAAAAAGTTTGTTTTCAAAATATTACTGCTTATTGACAGCTTTGATCCTCTTTGGGATTCTAAAGAAGGAAAGTTATAAAATAGAGTAGTGAGTAAAGGACCTTAAAGGAAAATGAAGCACAGAGGAGTTGAATGCCTAGAGCTAGGTCATGTGAATTTTATTTAAGCGTACTTCTTTGATATATTTTTTGTTTAGATTTTCATTTGGCTCTATGTTTAAATAAGTCTTAACGTTTTGACTTGCAAGTTTCTGAGTTGTGGTCTCTAGGTATCCCGATTCCTTTCTGTGCAATGGCATAAAAGCTGTTTCCTCACCTGCTCCCTTTTGGAACGTATCATCTTACAGGCATTTCTACTGCTGTTCCCAAAACCCTGGTCTGCTAGGACAACCTGAGATTTCCATCTACTTTGGCTCTTCATGGACTTACAGTACACATTTCTAAGTTAAATAAGTGCTCTCTGGGCCCAAGTAACATGTCCTATATTATAAACTTTAAAATACTTAGTATTCCATATTTACTTTTTATTACAAAGAATTCTGATTTCCTTGAATTTTGGAAGAAGAGGATATTTTGTCAGTCAAGTTTGACTGGCTTAGGTGAGTGGACACATTGACCCTCAGAGGTATTCATTCTCTTAGCAGCCTTGTGAGACTGAAGCCATGATCTCATGGCTTAAAACATGAGTAACATTTAAATGAACTAATTAGATAAAATATGACAGATGGCAAGAGAGGAACTGAATTTAGAAGAGGAAACATAATAAAAGAAAGAATTATGTAATGATTGACTCGAGATAAATTCCAAGGGAACAATGTAAATTGTTTTGTTTAAACGTGAATTATATGGAATTGACTTTAAGATTTTACTAAACAAAACTGAACTTTTTTAATCCCCATAGTGGAGGGTATATAGATTAATAAAGTAAAAAGTGAGTGGTGTTGAATACAGGGAATACCTAAAATAGAATGATTTGATATTAAACCTCAGCCTGGCCAGGTGCCCGTGGCTCATGCTTGTGATCCCAACACTTTGGGAGGCTGAGGCAGGCAGATTGCTTGAGCTCAGGAGTTTGAGACCAGCATGAGCAACATGGGAGGACCTCATCTTTTTTTTTTTTGAGACATAGTTTCACTCTTGTTACTCAGGCTGGAGTGCAATGGTGCAATCTCAGCTCACCACAACCTCCGCCTCCTGGGTTCAGGCAATTCTTCTGTCTCAGCCTTCCGAGTAGCTGGAGTAGCTGGGACTACAGGCATGCACCACCGTGCCCAGCTAATTTTTGTATTTTTAGTAGAGACAGGGTTTCACCATGTTGACCAGGATGATCTCGATCTCTTGACCTTGTGATCCACCCACCTCGGGCTTCCAAAGTGCTGGGATTATAGGCATGAGCCACCGTGCCCGGCCGGACCTCATCTTTAAAAAAAAGAAAAAAAGATAAACCTGAGCCAGTCTGAGGACCATGAAAGTACTTTCATTCTACTTTATCTGTGGAGAAAGCTGATCTTCCAAATTCCCCTATTTTGCTGTTGACTTGAACTGAGTGATAGATGAAAATACTATCATATATCATATAAAGGAAGGAGAAAACGGTTATGTCCCAGGTCCAGTTTAAAAATTGCCATCCTGTTTAACCTTGAGTAGCGATGGGATCATTTGACACCAATAATAATGTCAGAAATTTCTGTTGATGTAGTTTTCATCTTGAAGGTGTACCTAAATTGGTGTAAGATAGATCTTCATGTTTCTGATTATTAGGTCAGCCTCAAAGCATAGTTATGCTGATTTCTAAAGAACCTCACAATTTTATAAGTATTTTGTAATCATAAGTAATGAAGCTAACTAGTATAGAGATATATTTAGGCATAGATTTTTATTTATTTTTTATCAGATTTTTAAACCATAATGTTCTCTGTGTAATATACTCATGGATAGACTGAGCATTTACATTTGGTTGTATACCTAATTACAGTTATATAATTAAAAGAAAATACATTCAGAGAACACCTAAGGAAAATTATTATTGGTTATAAATGTTAAGCTCTAATTTAAGGTAAGTGTTCTAAATAGAACCATTTTATTATTTCCTGAAAACTGCTTAGAAGACAGAAACATGTCGTTTCTTTGTGGCTGTTTGATTCTACATTTTACAGAATTACTGTGACTTCAGAGTAAAGTCTTTTTTGGCAAATATTTGATGTTGCCAGTTTTCATTGGTTTTATTTTCCATTCTTGGAAGGTATATAGCTGGCAATTGTCTCATGACATAGATATACCTGCTCAGCTAGATTAAATTTTTCCCAGGTTTTAGCTTTGGCATACATGGCTTATTTTTAAATTGTGATCATAGAATTTGTCTAATCTAAGGAATTTGCTTCTGATCTGTTTGGGAGTTTTCTTTTCAGAATACATAAGGCCTGAATTTATCTCTTAGAAAAGCTATTCCAGCTTTTTAAATAAATTCACTTATTTGTTTAGCAAACAGTGAGTACCCTAAGATCCAGATACTGTTCTAGACGTTGAGGCTATGGCAGTAAAAAAAAGTGTTCCTGCCCCTGTGGAGAATATCTTTCATGTAAGACGCTTGTGTTAGTAAAGCCACTCTTGCCCTTTGCCGCAGTATTTATTTCTTACTAACTTTCTACTCTCAGAAAGTAAATGAGTGGTTTTGGACTAGAAAAGCCTACGTTGCTAAATGTCAGGCACTATCAGAGGGCAACTGTTGTATTACTGCCCACTTAAGTTATTCCTGACTAGAGAATGTGTGAAACACCCGACTTTGACTCTGTCTATTTAAGAGCAGTTTTCCAAATCTATTAAACTTTAAGCCTAGATTTTACTTTTACTTTATGGAATTATTTACCAGAAAGATGTTTAGAAATATTTTGTTTTTTACATTTATTTACTACTTTGATACTTGTAAACCATGGTGGTTTTTTTGTGATTTAAGCAGCTGTAGTATGATTCTTTCCAAATTTATTTTAAAAAACAAATACATTTAATCTTCTAGGCGTATAAAATAAAATTGGGGTTTATATAAGAACGGATAAAATATAGTTCTGTTGTAGTAGAAAAAACAGACACACTGTATATATCATAAGAAACCTGTATCTAAGTCTTAAAAGCAATGTGGAAGGTAGCAGGTAGCCTCGTGTCATCAAGTCTTTGTTGCGGAAGTGACGTT